CACTCCCTCTAGGGGTGAAACATATGAACTGCGATCACTATAGTTTTCCTATGGAAGTGTAACCAGTGTATGATAGGAATACTCTGAGAACTTAGAGTGCTGAAAATTCAACTCTGCTGACTTATGATTTATGCTATTTAACCGTTGTACCTTAAATTGCCATTACTTGAACTGTGAATACCCCTTGTTCACCGCGGCACATGATGGTAGGGTTCCAAACTCTCCGCTTATGACTTGAGAGTGACGCCTGGAACCCGACCCTGACGCCGTACCCTCTGCCACAACCATACCTGCTTATAGCCTCCGCAGCTGTGATTCTTAATATTGCCACGGCATTACACCCAGTCTTTTTCTCTTGCAGCACTGCTGCTCCGACCTCAATCCTCGGGGCCACTGTCTGTTTCCTCCAGACAACCTCAATAACGTGCTAACCTGCACAATCGGTTTCACAAACCCGCAGCTCCCTGCTGCACTGGACTCCACGCTGACTCCTGGGTAGAGTTCTCCTGTCTCCCAGGTGGAGCCCTCAACACATCTCAGCACCCCCTTCAAGAGGTGCACAATTAGATGCTGATTGCTACTAAAGTATGGACCCAGGAATGGAGATTTCATCCCACCCAGAGCTTAAGAAATCTCCTGGCTCCAGGATCCCAAATATGATCCAGAAAACCCGGAAAGGACTGTAAAGCCAGCTCTTTTCTGGTACAAGCAATTGCTTCCTGGAGCCACTCTGTCCCTCTGGCTGAGAATCCTGGGTCACTTTGAGGCCACCTAACACCGTTGTATTGCCACGCAATGCCACAACACCTTTAAATTCTATCTAGCCAGGGAGACTCTTATAATACACATTTGTTGGTAACTTTTTTTGATTTGGTGGTGAAAATCTAAAATATTAATCTATGTGGCATTAAACTGGGCATACACAGCCCAAAGCTGTTCTTATTTGACTGGTCCAAGTATTGGGGCTATATAGCTCCTCGGGGAGCTATATATAGAAAATAGAGAAGGAAATGTTAAACTGTGCAGGTGCCATTTGCACTTTTTGCCCAAATGACAAGATATAGTACTGCAGGCTCTTCCAAACTTAAGGGCACCCTGGCGTTTCATAGTTTTTGCTGAGGAACAAGCCTATGGCCAGCCTTACAGTTATAACAGATAGTAAAGCAACTACCGCTGGTGTATGACACATGCTGTGAACCTACATAAGTAGTTCAGTGCGGTATGAGATGCCAAGCTTGCTATAGTAATGGGTTAGTTCATTTTCTGCTATACTTTGTGAGGGTTGCTGGAGGAGGTACAGGCTAATTAGAGATTTAATTTGTGGTCCTTCCAACCTACAGCAAGGCCTGTGCAGCCTGAATATGATTATGGGCTGGAGTGACTTTTGCTAACAAAGGTTGTGGACCTCGGATCTATACTCTGTATAGGTTCTTCTGCAGGTGTTCTGTAGCTATCCCTAGAACTCCTTATCTTCCATGGGATACAGGGCCTTTACCCATCCTCTGTCACATATCTGTATACTATGGGGAACTGCACCTGACATCTTTACCTATCCCTTTTCTGTCTAAAAACTTTGATGATAATCTTTAACGATCTTATCTGAGAAAAGCTGTCCTCCTTACCTGTCCTATTTTACAAGCACCCATTCGATAGGATGAGCCCCTTTTGTCTTTCTCGGTGTGTCAAGTTTTAGGGAATCGATCATGTTGTGTGGCCAGAATATTTAATGGCAATTTCTGACTGATACAATAAGTTTCACAGCTTTGTTTGTGAATGTTTTTCTTTTTCTCTTTTTACTCCCTCTCTCTCTCCCTATCTCACCCTCCCCCACGTCTCACTCTCGCCTTCCTCCCGCTCCCAGCCACCCTCTCTCCCCTGTGCTCCCCCCTATGTAGGAGCTCTAGTTCTCTAAAGAGATATTGCATGGGGGATTCCCTGCACGTTGCACGTCACGGTTCTGCATGCTGCATGCTCCAGGTTGGCCTGTGGACTTGCCTGCCGATCTTTTGCTTTTGGTTTGTGCTGGCTATTCGTTCTTTCATCTCTGCACTTCCAGAGTGGAGTGAAGATTTGGAGCTTTGTGTTCTCAATTTTACTCTGGAGGTGAAGAGTTGCTTTATATAGGTTACTTGCTTGTAAACAGAACTCTAAGGCTCTGCAAAAATAGCACAGTTTAATCTAACAACTTGTATACTGCTAAACCTAAAATATAATATCATGCACATAAAATGCCCCCCATAAGCTTCTCCTTGGAGTTGGTAGCAGGATAAAATAAAGTTATTATTATGACAGAAGCTAAGAACACATAAAACAACTAGCCATACTTTTGCTTTACTTATAGAAAATCATCATATTGTAGGTTTTAGAACTTAAGATTTAAAATGTATATAAATCTATTATATTTCTAAAATTTCAAATTTACTTATCTTTCTCAAAAACAATTGAATATTAGAATTGTAGAATTCTTAGAAAAGTCTATATAATGATAGTATTATTGAGAGTTTTATATCTGTTTTAGGACACATAGACAAATGGAAAAAATCCATGGAAAAGTAGGGAAAGCACCGATACAGCATTTACATATTGTGTGAAGACAATGAGGCTAGTTTGCTAAAGCACTTCAGAATGTTCAAGCAATAAATTGTATGAAGATTCACTTCAATTATCCAATCAAGTGTAGTAGGGATGAGCTCAGATTCACATTGAACCCTCTGATAAAGAAAGTGCCATGGGCACTTTTACTCTATCACTTGCTGGCATTCCCCTCCTTGCAGCTGCATGTTCTCAGAGCACAAGGAAAACCAGACAAGCATAAGGTGCTAGTTAAAATATTTATTAAGAAAAGTGTTCACAGGGGCAAGCAAAAATCATAAACAGGAACAAGCCAAGGTCAGGAGCCGGAGTAGGTAGTCGTACAAGCCAGGAGCAGGAACACAGAAATCAGCGTAGTCAGGAACAAGCCAGGAGCAGGAACAGGAAGATCAGCGTTGTCAGGAACAAGCCAGGAACAGGAAGCAGTAAATCAGCGTAGTCAGGAACAAGCCAGGAACAGGAACCAGGAAATCAGCGTAGTCAGGAACAAGCCAGGAAATCAGCATTGTCAGTACCAAGCCAGGAACAAGAACCAGGAAATCAGCGTTGTCAGGAGCAAGCCAGGAACCAGGAAATCAGCGTTGTCAGGAACAAGCCAGGAGCAAGCCAGGAG